TAATTCCTTACTAAATTGTCTCCATATTATTTATTAATTCAATTATTATTTAATCCATTAATTATGATAATTAATTTTTAAATCATTTTTTTTTTTTTTTTTTTAAATTTTGTTAAAAATTATTTTCAAAGGTGCTAATTAGTACTTATATATAATAGGATATAAAAATCGGTAGGCAGAATCGATATTGACTCTCTTTATCACAAAAAGTGTTCAAAAAAAATTTTATTTTCACATGATAAAAATCATTTTAATTTTAAACAAAGGCCATTATTGAAAGCCAAGGTTAAAATTTAAAATTAACCACCTTAATTTTATTTATTAGAAGGTAGTCAGAGTATTGGATTAATGCCAATCTCAAGACCCATCTAAAAAAAACTTTTGCTCCCAAATTTTTTTCTTTTGCCTAAATTTATTTGTTATGTTTGTGATGTAAAACAAACATGAAAATTACTTTTGCATGGAAATAATTATTTAAAAAAAAAATTAAACAGTTTGAGGCGTTCATCAACCCTTAGTCAAAAAAAAAAAAAATATTAAATTTATTTCAATTAGTTCTAATCTTTCTAGAAAAAAAAAAAAAAAAAAAAAATGGTTGTGTTGTGAGAAAAAAAAAAAAAAACAAAATTTCAAATTTTGAATTTTTCTTTCATTTTTTCATTTTTGTGTAATGCAAAAAAAAAAAATGTTTTTTATCATGTTTAACCCGATTATACGTTAAATATCTGTTTGTTTAAAAAAAAAAAAGTGATTGTTATTAGGGTAAAATATTTATAGTAAAGTTTTGAATTTTAAATTCAAATAATTTAAATTTAAATTTAAATTTTTTTTTGTTCATATGACGTTTACGGAACAATTTAAATTTTTCGATTTATCCATGAAAAAAAAAAAAATTGTTCCGTGAAAACGTTTAAATTAGCTAAATTAATTATAGCTAGTCATTAGTATTAATAATAATAATAATTTTTTTTTATCGATGCTTTAAATTTTTTTTTTTTTTTGCTGAATCTCTGTCTCTTATATACACAAAAAAAAGTTTTAAATTTATTTAAAAAAAAAAAAAAATTTAAATCAATTATTAAATTATTGTTAACGGTAGTCTTATTATTAGTAAATGTGCAAATGATTCTTCCTTTTACCCCTTCCCCCCACTAAATTAAAATTAAAAAAAATATTTACATATATTAGATTAAAAATATTAATAAATTTTTATTATTGTTATTATTTTTTTTTAAAATTTATTTTAAATGAAATCAATTCACGTTTGTTGTGAAAATTGTTAATTTATTTTTATTTAAATGCAATCGAACGATATAATATTATTATTATTATTTAAAAATAATAAATTAAATTTAATTTGAAATAATTATGATGTGATTTATAGATATTATTATTTTCCAGTATTATTTCGATATTTTTTTTTTTTTTTTAGTAAAATTTTAATTTAGTTGTTGGTGTTAAGTAAAAAAAATTATTTAATAACCCTCTTTTATTTTTATGTTATTTATTTAAATATTATATTATTATACTCCTGTTAAATTTTTTTTTTTTTTTAAAGGTAATAAATAAATGTTTATATATATATATATATATATATATATTGAAAAAAAGAAAAAAAATTTATGCTTTTTAATTTATCTAATTTTTTTTTTCTTATTATTTTTCATCTAATATATATATATTTAAATGTTTTGCATGAAAGTAATAAATTAAATTAAATTCAAATTTTTTTTTAATATTTAATGAATTTACTGTTAAAATAAATGTCAGAATTTTAAATTTAATTGTATGTGAGAAAATTTTATGACAATAAACAAAAATTTAAAACTTTTATTCGTGTATTTTAATATTTTAAAAAAAACTTTAGCGTTGTTGATATTACGTTGTAAAATTTGATATATAAAATAACTTGGAAAAAGATTTAAAAAATAAAAATATGTATATGTAAAATCGTGTGATTAATCATAATTAATGTTATTTATCTTTCTCGTTTGTACCTTTACAAAGTTTTCATTATTTAATTATTATAAATAAAAACTTTTTAAACTTAAAGTATAAAATAAATTACTTTGTTTACAAAATGATTAGTCATTTTGTAAATCATTACATAAATCGATTACCTTACAAAAATTCTATGAAATTTTCATTATTCTAAAATAATTGAAATTTTTGAAAATTAAAATTATCAAAATAATTTTGTGTTGTTTAACACATTTGTCGATTATGCTTCTCCAAAAAAAAAAAAAAAGAATGGAATCGAGTGATTCAAGACCATTCGTGATAATTATTTTGAATACTATCTCTCAATATTTTAGTGCATTCGTTATTTGTCGCATTTGTTCTAATTGCCTCAGTGTCGAAATGTGTTAAGCTGGCATAAAAACCTCTGTTTTCAAGAATATTAACAATCGTTTTGGTTTTTTGAAGTTTTAATTCTTTCGGGCTAAATCTGTGAGTATTCAGATAAAAATGAGGAGGATTGGAATCTGACATATTTTGACTCATTTCATCTGATAATTTAGGCTTTTTGGCTTCGGAAGGCTTTGATTTTGCTCTTTCATAACACCTAAAATTTTTTTTTTTTTTTTTTTTTTTTACTTGTGAATGTAATGTTTTTTAAAAGTTTTTTTTGTTTTAAATGAATGTATGAATTTACTAACTTTTAAAATTGAAATAAATTAATTAAAAAAAATATAAATATTGCTTACCTTGCTTCATCTGCAATCAATTTTAACAGGCTGATTACTTTCAAATCGCAACTTAATTCATCGCTTTTTTGAAGCATCAACTCCACAAAATTAGCATCAAAAATTTCACCACACCAGAGTGGACCAATACCAGTTATGACTTTTCCTTCATCTTTTTCAGAGCAATCACATCCAAAAGTCACATTTTGTTTATCCAAAAAATTTGAATTTTGTATAAATTTATGACTTTCACATTTAATGCAATGAGCCAATAATTTTATATTTTCCAATGCATTTTGAGAATTTTCCGATCCTTTACAAGTTTTTACTATTATAGTAAAAGATTGTTGCGGCTTATAAGCTAAACTGCATAAAACTTTTAAGCCTTTGTTATATTTAGCACAAGTTCTAGCCATTTCAGCCAAAACAAGTCTGATGGCTACCTCACGATGATATGATGTTTTCGAAATTACACCATTGTAGCTCTTTAAAGCAACTTCAGGCATTTGCCAATATAGTGCTGGATCTTCAGATGTTGTTATAATTAAAATACAATCCTCTTTTATTTTAGAAAAAATCGAATCAAAATAATATGATGCTTTCGTGTTGCAATTGAGATATCTATAAAAAAAAAATTGAAAATTCGTCAAGTTTTCTTAGTGGGATTTTCAAAAAAATTCTCATTAATAACTCAAAATGATCACTTACATAAAATCATACACTTCTTTTCTTAAAAGAATACATGGATCCTCGTTTAAATAAGTTCCAGTCACATTATTAGACTTGAGATTTTTTGAAATAATTTTTGTATCTTCCTCGTGGTCACCATTTACTGTAATATCAATATCATCGTTAAATTCCTTTTTCCATAGTATAGCATTAATGCCGCAAATTCCAAGTCCTTCCAAGCATTTAATGGGTGTTTTAAAGCTCGATTTAGATGCAGCTAATGCACATAATACAATACTTCTGCAAAACAACTTCAATTTCTTTTAGGTGTACGTTAAAACTTCAATTAAAATGTAAACAATGCAAGTAATGTAATTTGAAATCGTAAGATAATTATGAATAAATTACCTATTTATATCCAATTCTTCGTTACATAAATTTCTTTGCCTCTTGGTTAAATTGCATTTTGGTTCGCAAACCAAAATACTATTATTTATACACATTTTTATAAATATATTTAATATTTATCGTAAATATATTATTTAAATAACTTCAAATAGCATAGGGAAAACTGTCGATAATTCACAAAATGTCTACCGATCGAAAGAAAACTTTACGTTACAAAATAATCAATCATAATAGTAATAATAATAGTAACTTTTTTATAATGAATATAAAAAAAAAATTAGAATTTCAATAATAATTTATTCTTTAAAAAATTTTTTATAAATAAATATTAAATTATCAATCGTTATTTAATTCGAAACTAATTTAAAATTATTTACTGCTCTAAACAGCTACTAACCCAAAGGAAACCCGGTAAAAATATAATAATAATGAAAAGTTAAAACTTATTTATAAAAAAAAATTTAATATATTTATACTACGTTTTAAATTATTTAACAAATTTTTTGAATACATGTACACATATTCGTTATATTCAATTTTCACTCTTCTTTTTTTCATATTTTTAATTTTGAATTAACCTGAGATAAATTAAAAATACTGTAAGTAAAAAAAAAAAAAAATTGATAAAAGCCATGTTGAAGTTGGCCCACAGCAAAATATTTTTATATTATCTACGATGTTTTCTAAATTAAAATAATTAATGGAAAACTATCGGTTTTTTTCGAAAGACGAAAATCTCCAAAATTTAAATAGTCTAAAAAAAAAAAAAACTATTTTAATAATAATAATAATAATAATAATAAATTTTCCGTTTAATTGCATAATAATTTATTATTTCGTACCTAATATACTAGCAAACTTTGGAAACTTTGGAATTAAATTTGAAAATATTATTACATCTTTTAAAAAAATTTTTTTTTTTTTTTTTTAAATAATAATCCTGAAACAATATATCGATTATTTGCCGTATAATTATTTCAATAAAAAAAATTTAAAATATAAAAAAACAGTACATATAAAAACTTAAAATAATAATAATAATACAAAAGTAAAGCATTTTCTTGAAGGTAGTAGGTAGTAGTACTTTAAAAGAAATGAAAAATAATAATAATAATAAAGTTTAAAAAAAAAAAAAAATCGTTGGAAAAATATTTTGGAATGACCATTGTAAAAAATGATTTAAAACCAAACAGACTTTTTTTTTTTTTTTTTTTTTTTTTTCAAATAAATACTTTTAAGTAAAATAATAGGAAAATGTACGAGCGTTCTTAAAAAAAGAACAGTGTCATTACTTGATTAATCACAATTACATTTTAATTCTAATTTGATTTAACAATATCCAAAGGTAAGGTTGAATTGCATAATTGGTAACAAATGAGATCATTTGTCAATCGAAATATATTTTGAGTCATAGAAGGCATGTCCTGAAAATAAATAAAAAAAAAAAAAAAAGTTAAAGCTCCACAATTCTCAAAGGGATTTGTAAAATTCTTCCAATTAATGCTTTCTGCACTTACTGGCTCTCTTGAAAAGTTATCCAATAATATAGTTTTTTGAGTTGTGTTCAAACCGTCGAATGAGTCTAAATAATTTGGTAGGAAAGAATTGAAAAATTCATCCGTGTCCACTATAATTAAATTGTAAATGACGACGGCTATCTCTTCTTTAACGAGAGAATGACTTTTTGAAATGAGAATATTGAGCAAAGCTTTTAAAAATTCCGTGTGTAAATCTTTCTTGAATACCTCCTGGAAAAAAAAAAAAAGAAAAGAAATTTGCACTTTTTTTTTTTTTTTTTAATAAAATGGCAACTAATTTTTGCGGTCGCATTGCCTTACTTTACAATAAAGATTCCATTTAAGATTCAGTCTTTCTAAATTCTTAAGATTTTGTCTAAAGAGGTCAATATTTTGTAAAAAAAGTGATTGACCGATTGATTTCATCAATTGTAAAAATTCCTTTCTTCGCAAATCTGCTTCCAGAGTTGTTTTAAAAAAATAATGCCATTTATGCACTAAAATGCTACAAAAAACAAAAAAGATTTTTTTAACAAAATGTTTAAAAACTTTTTAATTTGAAAAAAGCTTTGGTCGAGTTTAAAATTAACGAATGAATGAAAAAATTAATAATAATAATAATATTTTTAAAATAATCACTTATAAACCAGTTGAAAAAGAGATTCCTGAACCGTGGGTGACACAGCAGGAGCGAGTATAGGCTCTGACAGCTGAAGGCACAAATTCACAGTCATCGGAGTTAACTTTGATGCTGATAACCCTGGTGTTTGAACTACAAGATCTAATATTTGCAAAAGTTGTTGAAGGCCTCCACCGTTTTCATGAGCTAATGATACCTGTAGTTGTTGCCTGTTTTTTTTTTTTTTTAAATTTAAATATAATTTTTTTTTAATTGCATTTGAAACATAATAACAAAAATTTTTTTTTTTTTTTACCTTGTGTAAGCATCCATAAAAGTTTGAACTGTGACTTGAGTGAATGCAACGCCCACTTGTTGTTGTAAACACTCCAACAGTATTAAAAAAAATTGTAAAATTTCTTGATTGACTTCTGGATCCCTTACATACACTGGGAAAAGAGCTAACGAATGATCAACGGATTTTTGAAATGCCACACAAAGAAGTTTTTTAGATTTTGTTCCTTCGGATTTGTAAAGCATTATTATGTACTGCAGTGTTTGCAAAGTTGTTATTATTAAAGGTTTAAACTGCAAGTTAAATTGCAATGGCAAAGCGGTAAATGAACTTGTCAGCTGATCTATGTATGATGTTAATAATTTTAATCTATGGTCCCACATTTGATCTTCTATGTTAGGCCATTTTAAAATTAAACAGTTGACTAGACTTCCTTGAATTAAATATCGGTCCTGAAATGAGATTTTGTCAAAAATTTTAAATGTGATTCCAAGAAATTAAACCTTTTATTACAATTTATAAGATAGGGCTGATGACGCAAACCAAGCACTTAAAGCTATTCGCGAATTATTTCTCTTTAAAAAATGAAAAATTCAATTTCTTAATACCTCTTTTTGCAAATGGTCCAAATTAGATGAAAATAAAAATTTAATGCCTTCTTGATTCCAAAAACAGTACGGACGAACGGTGCTTGTTATCGTTGATAAAAGGTGAGCTGAACAGTGTTGAAGTACAGTAGGGGATCCAGGATTTAATAATGGAATACAACCATTAAGTATACCGGTAACATAATCGTTAAGAATAGATTTTGTTGAGACTTCGGTGTGTAATAATGGTAGCCAATAGCACCAAGACTTGAGAGAAGCTAAAACTTCAGCGTGTCTAAAAATTTTTTTTTTGCAGATTAGGAGAAATAATGATTTTCAAAAAACTTAAAACAAATGTAATACTCACAGGTTTTGAAAAGCTAATTTTATATTAACTGGTAAGGAATGACATTGAGCTTTTTTAGTCAATTCTTGTAATGTCAATAAATGCTGAACAGAAAGTCTTGCGATTGTAAATTTTGGTTCTTCTTTCCAGGATTCTCCTGTACATTGGGGATATAGTAAGCCCACGGCCTGAGTTAAAGTGGATAAGTCTATTAATAATGAATGAATCAAAATATGATCTTGAATGGCAGCGGAAAAATTGTCAGCTTGAAATATGTGTCCATACAGACCACACAATTGAACCCATTGCTCAAACTAAAATCGAAATGAAAATGTATTGAATTAAAATTTCAAAAAATTTATTATTATTATTATTTTAACTTTCTTATCCGGAAACTTACGACTAACTGAAGAATTTCATTTGATTGAAAATCAGCTATTACTGCTATAATATTTACGGAAGTTTTAAGAATAGCATTCCAACTTGAAACATCTTCTTCATCGGTGATAAAGTTATTTATTTTTATCATCTCCATCCTATTTTCTTGAAATTGAATTTTTTTCAATATATGTTGAGCCAATGATATAAAAACTTCTTGATACCTTAAAAAATTATGTATTATAATGAAAACCATACAATTAATTTTTAACCCTTTAAATAAAAATTTCAACAAGACTTACATACATACTTTTTTGAATTTGAGTATTCAAGAAGATGCATCCAAATTTCAAGACATTTAAAAAATCCAAATTCAAATGTTGGTTGTTGAATTGTAAACTAAAACAAATTATATTTACAAGTTATTTAATAAATTAATAAATTTTCAATTATGATTAAATTTAAAAAAAAAAACATTTTTCTTACAGAGAGAGTAGCAAACAACAGACTAGTTAAATTTTCCTGCTTCTCCGTATTTTGACATAATTCCATACCCAAAACTAATCGTAAATATTCAGTAATCTTTTCTAAATAACTAAAATTACACAATTTTCAAATAAAAAGAAATTTTATTACAGGTATTTTTTTTTTTTTTTTTTGATAATTAAACTCACCATTCTTCTAACTTTGTGATAGATGAAAGTAAAGTTTGTAATAAATTCATGGTGTGGTTAACTATTTCGTTTCTGTTAGGAGGTACACTATGCCTGTACAACATTTCATTTAATGTATTTATAGCTAATAAAGCTATATCTTGTTTCTGAGAAAAATAAAAATTACTCTTTTAAATACTTATTTGAATAGAAATATAAATTTTGCTACAATTAAACTTACATCAGTTTTTGATCCTATTTTAAACAAAAAATTTATAACTGTATGAGGAACATGAGTAGCAGGCACCCAAGAAAATAAATGTGTAAATACTCTTAAAAGCAATGAACAGTCTTGTACATCAGACAGAATAGTTTCATTAGATAAAAAACCTGTAAAATGCATTTTTTGTATAAAAAAAATTCACATATAATATTTAGCTAAATAAATTTATCTTACCCGAAAGAATAGCAAAAACATCAGGCATTTGAGCCAACAACAACTTCTGTAATTCGATTTTTCGATCCACACTAAGGTCTTCTCTCGGAGCAATAAGCTCTTCTGAAGTTATCAACATAAATAATAACCCTAAAAACCTTGTATCAGATTTTTCCAGAAGTTGAAAAATGTTTGTGAAAAAATCAGGATAGTAATGAGGCCAATCAAGTCTAGCAATGTCAACAATAGACTTAACTAATTTACTTTTAATACACATTGTTAAAGCTTTTTGATTTCTTAATAGATAATCATACAGCATGGATTTTAATTGTATTTTTTCTTCCCAGGAAAGGCACATCCACTGTTTATTAATGATATTCTAAATGAAACCGAATATAATTTTTTAAAAAAACTGAAACCGATTGCTGAACACATTTTTTACAAATTAGAGAGCACTTTAATTATTCTTTTACCTCAATAGTTGTGAGACAAAATATTGCAACATGTTGATTTCTTGTGAGGGCTAAATATTCAACACAAAGTTTCCAGCAACCATGTTGGGTTTGAAAGTTTGACAAAAATTTTTGTATTTCCTGTCTTTTATCATTGGCTGTTTTCACATCAAAAAATTGATTCAATAACTGTTCTAATGCATTTAATTCTATTTTGTCAAATGACTACAAAAAATAATATACAAAGAATTTTTTTATTGATAAGGGATTTTGTACACAACTTCAAAAACAATGACAAATTTTTTGGGATGTTTTATCTTAAAGATGAAGTTAAAACTTTTTTTTTTTTTTTTTCTACTCACCATTATGAAGAAAATTAATTTCAAGTGATATGAATAAAAGTTGCGGCTTAAAGCCTATTGCCAAAAGATTCATAAATAAAAGGAATGCTGTGTTGTATACTTCAATAAAAATCCTTAAATTCAATTATTATACACATGTTGAAACGTCCAAATCACTAATATATTAAAAAAATTCCGACTGCCTAAAGGCTTCATTAAATTCGTCTTTTTTTTGTAAAATTTTTTATAATAAAATAAAAATCAAAGTGTTTTTACTGATTAATTTATTTTTTGTTTTTAGCATTTGGACAGGAAAGAAACTGCTGATTCATAAATTACGCCTAGAAGTTGTAATTACAGTAATAATACCTTACATAGTGTTGAATGTAGCAATTTTTGCTATGGTTAGTCGATCGAAATCAGTTACCAGTCAAAAACAGTGTACTTATTTGTAATTTTATTTTATTTTATAATTTTTCACTCTATTGTCAAAAAATGAATGGTGAAAATGTAAACGATAGTTCAGAACCTCACACTGCGGGACAACCTTTATCTGACTTTTTACAGCAACTGGAAGATTACACCCCGACTGTAAATAAACCATTAAATAAAAAATTTTATTTATTAAAAGGTATAAATAAATAAATAATTAATTAATATTTATTAAATAATTACATTTTTAGGTTCCTGATGCGGTGACAGCTCATTACTTGCACTCAGCAGGATTTGATTCATCAGATCCTAGAATGTTTGTATTGATACAAAGCAGTAAATTGCTTTTTTAAATATATATTTTTTCATAACTAATTATGGCAAGTTTTTAATTTTAGAATAAGATTGATATCTCTTGCTGCTCAAAAATTTATATCAGACGTAGCTAATGATGCTTTACAGCATTGTAAAACAAGAAGTTCACATCAAGCTTCTAAAACCAAAGGAAAGGACAGACGATACACTTTAACAATGGAAGATTTGGCTCCAGCTCTTGCAGAATATGGAATATGTGTTAAAAAACCTCAATATTTTGTGTAAAACTGTAAGTAATATAAATATTTTTTCAAATAATTTTTTTTAATTAATAAAAAAGATTTACAAAAAAATAAGAAAATAACTAAATTTTTGATTTAACTTTAAGATTTAAAAACATTCAGTTTATTTATCTTTATTCACAAATTAAAAATTCTTAACTTTAATCAGAAATCATTTTTTAATTATTTTTTATATATTTATTTTGTTTGAAAAAGAGTTTATATATTTCAAATAAAATTTTTAATAAAAATGACTTCGTCTTTCAAAGATTACTTTCGAAATTGATGTGTAAAAATTATCGAAAGTTTAATGTAATTCAAACTAAATTATTTTTGCATTTTAATAATAAATTAATATATTTTTGAATGACTTTTGTAAAAGTAATTTAATTTTTTTTTTAAATAGTCATTATAAACAAGTGATTTACTAATTAATTTATAATTAAAAATTTTAAGTAAAACAAAATGATTAATCGAACATTGAAAGTAATTTTTTCGCAAAGAATCAAATGTTTGAAAATATAAATAGTTTATATTTTAAATGACTGTTATATTTTGTCATCATAATTTTCTTTAATGTAGGTTTTGAAATTTAAAAAAAAAAAAAAAAATATTTAAAAAAAAAACATTTATTTTATTTACAACATAAAAAATATAAAAAATATGTTTGACTATTTGTAGCTGATGGCATAAATTTAGATGTAAAAAGATATATATATATATATTACGGATAAAATGGCATTCCACGAAAAAAAAAACTTGATGTTTCACAGCGAAATTGTTTAAATTAATTTACAATCTAATAACTTCTTTTTTTGTTGTTCTTCATTTTCCGAGTCCTAACTTCCTGAGTGCCTTCAGATCAAGTTCTCCATAATAGTCTTCACTATAATATTAAAAAAATTGTTTTTGTAGAACAAAAATATTATGAGAAGAAGTATCAAAATACCATTTTTCAATTCACTGTGAGATCAATTATTTTTAATTTTTGTATTTTATTTTATTTTTATGTATCTGCTGATTGAGGATTGGTAAATTTCACTTTATAACTGAACCATATTTTATTTAATTGCATAAAAAGGCATTAAGCAAATGTGTGTGGATAAAGTGTGTGTGTGTATGTGTGTGTTTAAGTGAATTATTGGAGAGAGAAAAAAAGCAAAAGTTTCTTTCAAGTGTAAAACTATGTTATGAATTAACTCCGATTCCGATGATGAGGTAAATAGCAATTGTTTAATTTAATTAAAAAAACATTTGCTCATGTTTAAAAAAAAAAAAAAAAAAAGTTGAATTTTAGAGCTAAAAAACACTGTTAAAAGTTGCCACATGTTAGAGAACGGACAACTGTATCGATCAAACCAACATGCACCGTTCTATTTTCCTTTTGATAGGAGTTTAAAATGTTCATGCTCTGGTAAAAGCATTTTAATTTTGTTCTTCAAATTGTTCCTTGATGAGTCCCTGGGGTCTTGCCTGGATTGGAGCCGGATGAATTTGAGCCGGTACCCTTGGTTTGACCAAAGGTTTCGGTTGCAGTTGTGCTGGAACATCTTGGTTACCACTTCTTCCAGCTCCGCTGCTTTTCAAACCGGCTAACAATTCGCTCTTCCTAATCGTCTTCAAATCCAAATCTCCGTAATAATCCTCGCTATAGGTTCGGCAACCGGATACAGAAGGATGATGAATTTTAAGGTTTGTTATTATTATTTATGTGGAAATGAAAGGAAATGAGAGAAAGAAAAAAAATGTTAATAAACCAGACTGACAGACTATTTCATGCATGTAGACTAACTTCATGCTTTTTTTTTTTTTGTTGTTGTTGTGAGAAAACAAATTTTTAACCGGAAATGAATGTCACAGTTTCATTGCCGGGTGAAAAGTAAGCATTTAGAAAGCCTTTTTTTTTTTTTTTTTTTTTTTTTTAAGTATTGTTCCTATCAAAAATTTGTTTTTAAAATCACTCAGGTGTGTAAAGAGAAAGCCATAATTTTTTTTTTTTTATTTATGCATGATTCACCCCGATGATGAAATTAATTTACTAACTTTTAAATTTAAAATCTGTTTTTAATATAAAATTTTTTGCTTGATTAAATTAAAATAGCGTGACTAATGAAAAAAAAAAAAAAAAGAAAAAAAAATTAATTATATTGTGATTTAAGTATTGGAAGTAATCACCCCTGTTTTTTAAAAAAATAAATAAAATTTCAAAAAAAATTATTCTCTTTCTCTTTACACACACACGCACAATTTAAAGCAATGAATTAAAATTTTTATTTAAAAAAAAAAAAAATTTAAAAATTTTGTTTACTGACCATCCGGGAACATCTTCAGGATCTTCACAATTTCCAGCTCCTTCAGAATCACCAATTTTGAAAACAGTTCCAATTGGACAACCATATTCTCTAGCAACTCCTTCTAAACAAATGTAATATTTTCTGCAATCATCTGGGTGAGCATGTCTTGAAAATGATCCTCCAGCAGCGATTTCACCGGCAGCTGGGCATGTGAATCCTCCTGCGACTTCTGCAATAATAAATTATATTTATTTAAAAAAAAAAAAAGCAATTTTATTGAAGCTCATCATTAAGAAAAAGAAAAATTTCTGTTTCAAAATCTTAAATTTCTTTTGGCAACAGTTTTTTCCTTACCTTCAACTTTACATTCTGGAACTTGATCAGCCCACATACAAACACGAGAATCTCTATCGTAAGCAAGTCCAGGAGAACATTGGTATCTGCTAGCTTCACCATTCCAACAATTCCAAAAAACGTCACATTTTTTTTCATCGGAGAAAATACCGTACAATCTTGGACAATGTGGCGTACTGATTGGTGGTTCTGAAAATTATTAAAAATTTCTAAATATTTTTATAAGAATAAAAATCAACTAATTATTTTTTAAATTTTGCAAAATTTTAAATGTAATAAATTCATGTGAAGGTATTTTAATTATTGTCCTTGACCATACAGGGGGGAAAAAGAAAAACAGGTAGGATCAAGAATTAAAAAATAACGTACCTAAGTTTGTTCTTTCTCCACAATCGACATTGTGAAGATAATCGCAATTTTCGGTTAAGTATTTTGAATCGCTTGCATCAAAAGCCAAACCATTACCACAAGTTTTTAATTCTGGTAAACCGTTGTCACATTTCCAATATTTGTCACATGATATACTGTGAGGGTAAAATCCATAGTCATCTGGACATTTGAAACTTTCTTGAGCATTTCCTAAAAGCAACAAAAAAAAAAAAAAATTATTACATTAAAAACATCTAATTTAAATTTAGATTAATGAGATTTGCTTAATTTGAATCGGACAAGTTACGTTTTAGGTAAATAGCCCTAGTTTACCAAAATCAGGAGTGGCTGGTTTTGCGTTTTTTTTTTTTTCGCCGCGATGGGCTTGTTTCAAGGTAACCAGTGTAAAGAAAGTTTTTTAACACAAGTGCACAAGGTTTGATTAATTTTTTTTTTTTTTTGAAAAAATATCCTTTGAAAATCAACTCTCAAATGTTGTCCCTACATAATTAAAGACCAATTTTAAATAACAAGAAGAGACCAAAATTTTTTTTCCCATAATTTTATCCCGATTCCAATAAAAAAAAAAATAATAATTATTTTGGTAACGAGAACAAGATTACGTTTGTTTCGTAGAATTTTGTAATTAATTTAACCGTGTAATAAGTCAATAATTAATTAGCAAATAAGCACAAAAAAAAAAAAAAACTTGGCAAAAATTATTAAAAAAAAAAAAAAAAAAAATGCACCTTGAATAACTTGTTTTTTAATAATAAGCATGAAACCGGGAAGACCAAACATATTAGAAAATGAAAAATTCAAAATGTTTGCCCTCTTCTACCCAAACAATTATTACATAACGTATCATCAAATTCTTTTCCGCGTTTTAAAAATTCAATTATTTAACTCTTCGCGGCCATAACTTTTAAAAATTTAAATCATGGGTGCGGTTTTTCGTGATTATTTAAATAGGAAAAATGCCCACGACTAAATGCCAAGTACATAAACAAAAAAACATTTAATGTATATTATAAATATATAAATATTTTATTTATAATTTCATTTAAACAAAAAAATCAATCATCTTTTTTTTTTTTATTTTATAAATAAAAATAACTTTTTCTGTAAATAAAAAACATATTCATTCATCTAACATATAAAAAAAAAAAAAAAGATTGTTGGGTGTGTTCAAGGATTTTTTCTCTCTCTCTCACATTTTTAATGTGAAATACTTTTTAAATATTGTAATCAAATAACAATTCGTCAAAACTAAAAACTAAAATGATTTATATTTAATTAAATTACTAACGATTCAAACTTAAAATAGGAAAACAATAAGATTTACATAATAAAAAAAATTTTTTTTACTTTTTTTTTTTTTTTTACGTGGTGATGCCATTAAATTTTATATTATAATTAAAAAAAAAACAATTTCGTCACTTTCACCGAGCATTTATAACATTATTATTATACTTGACGTAATAAATTATTATTATTATAATAATAATTTTTTTTTTAAAAATTTTTCTAAAAAAGAATTTATTGTGAGTGGATGATAACGTTTGAAAAATTAAATTTTTTCGTGTTTTAAAAAATGATTATGCATATACGATTTGATATAACGTACACGTAATAACTTTTTTAGACAAATTTTTTTAATAATAATGTCCAGTCGAGAGATCATCTAGGAAATAAATATTTATTACACGTAATTACCTATGACTCTATTTAATACCTTAGTCTACCTGACGAATTGTTTTTTTTATTTGCCTTAAAGAAACATGTCGTTAAAATCGAAAAATGTATATAATTTCTACGGAAGATGTTTCATTATATAATTTCACGTGTCGTTTTTTGTTTTTTTTTTTGTTTTCAATCCTATTAAATTGTTTGTGATCTGTTATAACAAGATAAAACGTTATTGTATTTATTATCTCTTGTAAAAATTTAAATTGTGTAAAAGAATTTAATATTTGTTGTGCAAGAAATTATTGCATGATTTTTTATATCAAAGCATGGTTTAAGAGAGAGAGAGAAAATTTATAATAAATTAAATTGATTAAATTGTTTAAAAAAGGAAAAGATTGTACAAAATAATTAGCTAGAGGTGATATAAAATTTTGAGCAAGTTTTCAAAGTGAAAATTTTATTAAACTGTCCCTGGATTCTGTGGAAAATAAAGTATAAAAGAACTTATGGGTTCAAAATATTAATTTAATAAAAATTAATTTTTGATTGATGAATAACAAGGTGTTTTGTTTTTTTTTAAAAGTAAATTGTATCAGGGTCAATCGTGGTCAAGGTTGAATTATTCAATTTTCCCTTAAAATTTAAAATTAAAAGTGGAGGTGTAATTTTAAAGTGACCATAGCTTTTTTTGTAAAAATTTAATTGTGTCAATAATAATATGTGCATGTATATATATATGCTAATGTCCTTCGTTTAATAATTCGCGATAATAATAAATTTTTAATGGCAAATAATTGATTTTATTTAATAAAAAAAAAAATTAATACTTTTAAAGATATTGGTATCTGAGAATTACAATGAATGACACATACATTTGTTGCCAGTAGCTGTGAGAGTTGTCGAAATGTCAAAGAAACCCGGTGAAAGGATTTTTTTGACAGGTTTTTTTTTTTTTTATAAAGTCAAACGCAAATATTTTACATATTTTCAATAAATTGATTTACATAAACTTTAAACTGTATTGATTTTTTATGAGTAACCTAGTGAAAAATCGATAACTGCAAAACAATGAACACCTTTTCCCCAACCTTTTTCTACTTAATTAAAGCTTTAAATTAATAAATTAGTCAATAATATTTTGATTAACCTTTGACTTACCTAATTAACTCTCTATATTATATTTCACTAACTTAATAATTATTTAACACTTGCAAATTACGTAATAACACGACATAATTAAAATAACGCAATAAATTAATTGATGGTAATTGGAATGTTTGGTTTTGTTAAATTCGGCGGTCACCCTTATCGCAATTTTGCAAAAATTTTAACGTACACGAAGATTCTGCCATTCGGGAAAAAAAAAACAAATCAAAATTTCAAGTGTTTGGTTTTGTTAAATTAGGCGGTCACCCTTTTCGCAATTTTGTCAAAATTTTTGACGTGCACGACGATTCCGCCATTTTTGAGAGAAAATTCTAGAAAGAATTAATGAATGCATCGTAGATTTTAAATATTATTTTGTGCATAGTAGTTTTAAAAGTCATTTATAAACGCGTGTGGTTAAAAATTATGTGATACCTGGTTAGTGACGTGTTCAATGGGAACAAGTGAAAGTTTAAGGTAAAAAAATTTAATTTTAGGCATCTAAAAAAGAATTATGCGAGGAATACTGTGACAAAAAGCATGAGTTTTTGATCTTTTAATTATTATTTTCATTGATTTATATCATTTTAAAATTTCATTCGTTTAAATATTACCTCTTTTACCATATTTATAAATAGGGTAAATGTAATTTTATTATTGAATAACTTGAGATTATACTTTTGATCATTGATGTTATGTAACTGTATGAGCTGATCATTGATTTGTTTTCAACAAAAAAAATTTCACACTTTTATATCTACATTTTCTATTATGTATCATAATTAATTAATTACATTTATTGTATAACTATGTGAGTCTATTTACTTTAATACATTTAGCCTAAATTCTGAAATAACTGTAAAATTTTAATAGCAACTCTTATTGTAATGATTTCTTTGCTTGACTGTCACTTCAATGATTTGTTTTTTAAAATTTAACATTAAAAATTGTTTTTTGTTTTTAGTAAGGTAAATGTGTGTGATGATTTGAATATAATTTTAACACCACATGTTACAAAGAGGTACAAGATGATTATTTTAACATGCATTTGCCATACATTTGTCAAAACACATACTTATATATGTATGCATAAATATATGTGTGAATAAAATAGTACAACTTTTGGTAATATTGTGTGGGGGGAAATTTTGTTAAAGTGAAACATAATTGTTTTTTTTTTAATAGTAAATATCAAAAGATCAAATATATAATTTCACAATTTTACCTACAAACATTGTTTGAAATAAAAAAAAAAAATTATCAGGGTAAATTTTTGACCATATAAGTGTGGTTTATTTTGCAATACATTAAAAAAATTACTTTGGTTAATATTTTGATTGAACATTCTAAAATTTACAAAAAAAAATTATTTCAAACCTAAAATATCTATTTAAAAGTAGTAGTGGTAAAAAAGTAGGTGTACCTTTTTAAATGAATGTAAAAAAATTATTGTAGGCATTAACTTCACATAATTCAAAATAATTATTTTTTATGCATATATGTGCTTTACACATATATATATATATATATTTTAATGGCAATTTTAATTTCAAATAACACTTTATGTTATTATACTATAAAAATTTTTGTCTTATTAAATAATGATTACTGTCACAAATAACACAAGTTATATTTTTTATAACATTTTTTTGCCTTTTGTTTAATTACATTTATGTAATTACTAATTAAAAAAATATTTTATTAGTAAATTTTATTTAAATGCATTTGGCAATGAAAAGTAATGTACTGGTGTAAGACAGAGACTTGTAAAGTAGTGTATTAAAGCCAGAGGGCTTAAGTGTGTTATAGTATTAATTTCAATGAGGTAGAGATATCTGCAATTAATTACCATTTTATTACCACTTCAATGAATATGTTTACATTTATAAAAAAAATATGTATTTTTAAGCAAAATGAATCAGATTAATGATCACCAGATTAGTCACCAAATAAAATAAGGTTAGGGTTGACTTTTTTCTTTTTTGTTTGATCAAAGATGAACAGAATTAAAGGGACAAAAAGGTTAATGGTAATTTTATAAATAATTTTTTCAATTTTTTTAAAAATGATTTTCATTAAATAAAGAAAAAATTGCTTTGTCAATAACACAACTTTTTTTAAACATGATAACATATTTTAAAAACAATTTCATTTGTTAAAAAAAAAATAAAATTCATTTTATATAATTATAAAATTAACTATTACCTTTCTTATCTATAAAATTTATAAAATAGTTTTTATCTTAAAAGTCATGGCGATGAAAATTGAATGTAACAAATAATTTTATAGTCTAATTGTCATGTATTATCTATTATAATAGGTAAATTATTTCTGAGAGTTCCTTGGATGTGTAAAATTATGGATTAGTGATATTAAATGACCTTAACAATGTCTGTCCTGTAGTATTAGTTGTAATAAAAAATTGTTTTTTAAGCTCGAATGGAACAAATCAAAAACGATTGAGGCGGTTTTGTACTTGACTTTATTATAAGAGACCTAGGTTAAAAATACTAAGGGAATTTTTAACTGGCTTAATCGACATTTAAAAATTTGATGCAAATGAATTTAAAAAAAAAAAGAAAGCAAAACTTTTTCTTTCAACTGGCTTCATTCAAATTGTGATAATCATCAACTTGTATAACAAATTATCTTATGAAATTCTATAGTCAGTTTAAGATAAATTTATTTCTTTAGGGGTTTTAATGGGATTACCTTATTCATTTCAAGATGAGTTTTTTTGCATTGTGTTTAATTTATTAAGGGAAAAAAATATTTTATTTCAAAAAAAAAAAAGCAGAAATACAATACTTAACAACACAAACAATAATTGTAAAGTAGATGATAAGTGCTTATAAAAAAATAATAAATTTTTAGTAATAGTGGTAGTAGTCAAACAGTTAAAATAAATTAGTTGTAAATGATGAAATAACAACATGCCGCTCAGTTATTACGAAAAAAAAAATTGT